CCCCGCCCGAACATACCCACAAGTCTGGAATCATAAAACGGACTCGCTCGGACTATCGGAACCCCCGAAACAATATCAAAACTAAGAATCGCACCCCAAAACCAATTGATTCAAACTTAAGAACTTCAAGTTCTTTAATGTACTTCCTATGCGCCGAAACATACTTAGACTACTCGGATTAATACCAAATTTTGCGTGCAAGTCTTAAATGAAATTACAAAACTATTCCTGGTCTCAGAATTCCGTTTGGACCTCGATATCACCAACCCGCTCCAAACCAAATTTAAAGAACTTATAAACCTTCAAGAACCAACTTTCACTATTAGGCGCCGAAACGCTCCCAGGTCACCCAAAACCCGATCCGAGTACGCGCCCAAGTCCGAAATCATCATTTGAACCTATGGGAACCGTCAAATCCCGATTCCGAGGTCGTTTTCTCAAAATGTTGAACGAAGCCAAACTTGGCTTTTTAATCCAACCTTGAGGAACTAAGTGTTCCGATTTCAAACCGAACCCTTCCAAATTCCGAACTAACCATCTCCGTAAGTCAGAAAACACTAAAAGCAAATACAGGGAGTCTTATTTGGGGAAACAAGGTTTTAGAAAGAAAAACGACCAGTCGGGTCGTTACACTAACCAATCACATATAATATTAACTCGCTAACTAACACCCTAATCTACTAGCACTTAAATAGAATAAACTACCCCCTGTATTCAAGTTACATCACACTCCTCCTAAAGCTAGGTGGTAGAAAGACATCAAGTACACCTAGCTTGGGCATCAAGTACTCGTGTTACACTCGTGGTAGACCTTTAGTTAGAATGTCTGCTAACTGCTCCTTTGTAGCTACATATTCTGTTTGTACCAGACCATTCTGTATCTTTTTCCTTATAAAGTGAAGGTCTATTTCAATGTGTTTAGTTCGTTCATGAAACACTGGGTTGGCAGCTATTTGAATTGTTGCTTTATTGTCAGTGTAGATGTTTACGGGGAGGCTAACTTCTATACCGATGTCTTTGAATAGACCAAGTGTCCATACCAATTCAGCTATAGTTGATGCAATGCTTCTGTACTTGGATTCTGCAGAGCTCCTAGAAATAGTGCTTTGTTTCTTTGACTTCCAGGATATTAGAGAATCACCATACTTGATGAAGAAGCCTGTTACTGACTTCCTAGTAATAGGGCAGGCTACCCAGTCTGGATCACAATATGCGGTGATAATGTTCCTCTGCTTGCTAGACAATAGTATGCCTTGACCTGGTTGGTTCTTAACATATCTAACCACCCTTTGAGAAGCTTCCAAATGTGATCTTTTCAATTTCTTCATAAATTGGCTTAGTGTCTGAACACTATATGCTATGTCTGTCCTTGTGACATTTATGTAGAGTAGGTAATCTTTGATACTGGTTGATTTATGTTAACACTTCATCAACAATTGCATTAGAGCTTCTAGTATGTTCATCATACTCTTTAGTGGTTAGTTTGATGTTGGCTTCAATAGGTGTTGCTGCAGGTTTTGCTGCTCCCAGTCCAAGCTCAAAAATTAGCTCTAGTGTGTACTTCTTGCGGTGCATTAGAATGTCTTGTTGTGACCTAGCAAACTCAACGCCAAGAAAGTATTTAAGATCTCCTAGGTCTTCTATTATGAATGTTAGCTGCAGCTTGGTCTTCATCTCAGCTATTAATGTCAGGTTAGGCCCAATGATTAGCATGTCATCAACATAAACCAAGATGATTATGATGTATTCCCCTAACCCTTTGATGAACAGGGAGTGATCATGTTGGCTTTGTGTAACGACCTGACCGGTCGTTTTGAGCTCTAGTGCGTCGTTCAACGGTTTGAGACCAAGAGTAGCTTCACTTAATGTATTATGACTTGTTCGCATGGTCGAAATTGAATTTCGGGAAGTTCAGAGTTTATTTGGAAAGAAATTCTCATTTTGGAAGCTTTAAGTTGGAAGAATTGACTAAGGTTCGATTTTTGAGTAAACGACCTCGGAATCGGGATTTGAAGGTTCCAACAGGTTCGTATGGTGACTTTTAACTTGGGCGTATGTTCGGACCGACTTTTTGATGACCCTGGAGGGTTTTGGCGCCTATTGTGGAAAGTTGGCAGTTTTGGAAGAATTTCATAAATTTGGGTTGAAGTGCATTTCAATGTTATCGATGTCCGTTAGAAATTCTGAGTCTGGGAATAGCTCTGAGTGGTGATTATGGTATTGGAAGCGCATCCGGATGTGAATTTGGAGGTCCGTAGGTCATTTCGGGGTCATTTGGCGAAAGTTAAAAACTTGAAGGGTTTTGGGAAGTTTGACAGGAGTGGACTTTTTGATATCGGGGTCAGATTCCGATTTCGGAAGTTAGAGTAGGTCTGTAATGTTGAATATGACTTGTATTCAAAATTTGAGGTCAATCGGACGTGATTTGATAGGTTTCGGCATCGAATGTAGAAGTTTGAAGTTCTAAAGTTCATTAAGCTTGGATTGAGATGTGATTCATGGTTTTGGTGTTGTTTGATGTGTTCAACTCAGTTCATATTATGTTTTAAGACTTGTTGGTGGGTTTGGTTGAGGTCCAGGGGGCCTCAGGGTGGTATCGAATGGTCAACGGATCAGTTTGGAGCTTTGTTGTGTTGTTGAAGGGCCCGAGTTCTGGTGTAATTGCACCTGTGGGAAAAGGGCTGCAGGTGCGACGCCGCAAAAGCGGCAAGGAAAGTGCAGAAGCGGAAGGGCCAAGGCTGCCGAGGACCGCATGAGCGAAGGAGTTGCGCACCTACGACAGCGCAGGTGCGAAGGCGATGGCCGCAGAAGCGGCAAGGCTGCAGGTGCGGAAGAAGTGCCGCAGAAGCGGATGCGTAGGAGCAGCCAAGGAGTCCACATGTGCGGGGGTCGCTGGGCTGAATGCTTAAACAGCAGGCTTAGCCATTTTTGCCATTTCTCTTCATTCTTCGGCGATTTTTGGAGCTTCTTGAGGGGAGCATTCACCTAGCAACTTGGAGGTAAGTTAATCCCACCTATTGCAAGTTAAATACTTGGTTTATATAGGGATTTTAACATGGAAATTTATGGAAAATTTGTGAAAATTTGGGGTTTGGGTAAAAAACCTAGAAATTGGTATTTTTTTTATTTTGACCACGAATTTGGGTATTGAATTGAGAATAAACTATATATTTGAGTTTGTGGTGTTATGGAAAAAGTTTATCTTCGAAAATTTCCGGAATACGGGCACGTGGGCCCGAGGGTGATTTTTATCGACTTTCTGAGCGGAGTTGGAAATTGTTGTAATTTAGATTATAATGAGTATTAGAGTATGTATTTATGGATTTACACATTTATTGACTAGTTTTGGAGCGTTGAGCATCGGTTTGAGTTGTTAGGAAGGCTTTGGAGCCGGCTATGGGACTTCGGAGCGAGGTCAGTCGCTTTTGTAACCTTGTCAGAGGGAATTAACCACATAGGTTAATTGATTTAATGTGTGCTTCTATTTGTGGTGGCTACGAATGCACGAGGTAACGAGAGTCCGTGTGTAGCTACTATTCTGCTTGTGTCCGGGTAGTCTAGGACCCAAACTATGTTATACTTGCGATATTTGCACCCTACTTGTTAATTTAATTGCTTAAATCCTATTGAAACTTGATAAAGGAAGTGAAAAAGGTTAAATTTTATTTACTTGATCATTAATGAGAACTGGCACTTCTTTGAATAGTTGTTCCTTAATAAATTTTGAATTGATTGTTTTAATGTATTTTCTCTTCTTTTGGAGCGGGTCGAACGCCTCGGTAGCAGATAGATGCATCTATGGTTCGTGCCATTCGACTCTTGGCAGTGCACGATTTATATTTATATGTTGGATCAGACCGTACGACCTCGGCATAACTTGCGCATGATAACTCTTTGGAACTAATAATAATTGATATTGCTTTATTGGCTTGAGATATAAATTGTTAAATGATGAAAAAATGAATTTGGAAATTTCTATTAGCAAAAGGATTGTTGATTATTTCCGGTTATTGACTTTTTAGCTATGTTATGTATTCCATGCTTAAAAATAATATCGACATTTTATTGTTAGCCCTTAGTAAGTGTCATAGTCGACCCCTTGTCTTCTTCGAGGTTAGATTGGATACTTACTGGGTACGCGTTAATTTTTGTACTCATACTACACCTGCTGCATATTTGTGCAGGTACATATATGCCTAGGGGCCCTGCGAGAGCAGAGGCGTGGTTATTTGCGGGGACTTAGGTGAGCTGCATTTCCATATTACGATTCGCAGCCAGCAGAGTCTCCTTCAGAGTTATTTATATATTTTCCTGTCGAATTTGTATTCCGGACAGATGCTGTATTTTATTTTATCTTCTTAGTTGATGCTCATGCACTTGTGACACCGGGTTTTGGGGGCATTTATGAGTTGTTCAGTAGTATAGTTGGAAAATATTATCATTTACTCTGTAAATTTTATTTCTTATTATTTGATTGAAGGAAAAATAATGATTTCAAAAATACTTTAATGAGTAATCAAGTACACAAGTATTGTCTTGCCTGACAGCGGCGTTAGGCGCCATCACGACTTTAATGGATTTTGGGTCTTGACACTTTGCATGAAGCCAAACCTCAGAAGTGCCTTAGGCAACTTAGCATTCCACTATCTTAGTGCCTGTTTGAGCCCACACAGGGATTTCAAGAGTCTGCATGCTAGTCTTGTCTCCCACTGACTCTGAAAGCCCTGTGGTAAGGTCATGTATATCTCATTATGTAGATCCCCTTGAAGAAAAGAAATGTACATATCCATTTGATGAATGTGCCAATGTTCAGAGGCAGCCACAACTAGGATGGTTCTAACAGTAACCATCTTAATTACTGAACTAAATGTTTCTTGGTAGTCAATGCCCTCCTACTGGCTGTACCCTTTGGCCACCAGCCTAGCTTTGAACCTCTCCACCTCTCCTGCAGCTTTGTACTTCACCTTATAGATCCACTTACAACAAATAGGCACCTTGCCTTAAGGTAAGGATACCACATCCCAGGTATGATTGGATTCTAATGCAGCAATTTCAGCTTGCATAGCTTCAACCCACCTACGATCTTGAGCAGCTTGCTCAAAAGAAGTAGGCTCCTGGATTTTAGAGAATGTTGTTAAATAGGCCTGATACTTGGGAAAAATTCCATCATAGGACACATAGTTAGCAATGGAATAGGGAACAGACTTGTGTCCAGGTTGTGACACAAAGTCCTTCATCCATATAGGGGCCTGCCTTGTCCTCAAAGATCTCATCATACTAGTGGAGTTCTGAGTAGGAGGAGGAAGTGTAGAAGGCATCACATCTGCTGCTGACTGGTGCAAAGGAGAAGAGTCAGTAGACTCATGCCTAGCAGGAACTGAAGGAAGTGAAGGCTGTTTTTCACTAGAACTGGACAAGTCAGGAGGCAAGAAAATAGGAGGTGTTGTTGGTGTGATATCTTTGAAGGGAAATATATCATCCCTAAAGGACACATCCCTGTTGATAAAAAACAATGAGAAGAGAGATCCAGTTTAATGTAGGCCTTCTGAGTATCAAAAAAGTCCATAAGAACAGCTGGCTTAGCCTTGGGCATAAGTTTATCTGTTTCATGAACTTGATTGGCCTAGCATAAGCAATAAAAATTCTTAAGTGACCCAGGTTAGGTGCCCTACCATACAACAATTCAAAGGGAGAAAGACCATGCAGAACAGAAGATGGCATCCTATTTATGATGTACACTGCTGCAAGCACACAATGTCCCAAATACTTGATGAGAATATTGGCCTGAAACATTAAAGCTCGGGTGACTTCTAGGATGTGCATGTGCTTTCTCTCAGCAACTCCATTTTGCTAAGGAGTATAAGCACAGGTTCTTTGATGGATGATACCATACGTATGAAACAATATGGTACAAATAGAGTGGACAAACTCAGAGCCATTCTCTGATCTGACTTCTTTCACAATTTTGTTAAACTGAGTTTGAATGAACACAATAAGATGAGTAAGCACCACACATACATCATATTTGAGCTTCAGTAGGAATAACCAAGTCATCCTAGTAAAGTCATCAACAACTATTAGAAAATACCTATTGCCATCAAAAGTTGCACAATTATATTGACCTGTATTAGATCAAAGGCGGCAACAGTCTTAATACAGCTAGAAGGGAATGGAAACCTGGTTTGTCTAGCACAAGGGTATACACTACATTTATTGATAGTGTCATTGATACTAGCTAGTTTGGCAGCAAACGGTTTCCTAATAACACTACTAGACACATGACCTAGTCTTTTATGCCACAAGGCAACATCAAGTGTAGTGTAACCCTGTCTTGACTTTATTCCAGCAGCATCTAAAGAGACTGCAGTGCACTTCTTACCACCTTTATTGATAGTGTAATTGATACTAGCTAGTTTGGCAGCATACGTTTTCCTAATAACACTACTAGATACATGACCTAGTCTTTTATGCCACAAGGCAACATCAACTGTAGTGTCACCCTGTCTTGACTTTATTCCAGCAGCAGCTAAAGAGACTGCAGTGAACTTCTTACCACCATATCTCTGCAGAAAGTATAGACCATCTCTTTCTGTACCAATCTCCCACACTGAAGAGATCCTGAAAGACACAGAAATTAATATAAAGGAAGCAAAGTATTTAAGATCTGTTGTCACTTTGGAGAATGATAATAGGTTGAACTTGAACTGAGGTACATAGAATACTATTACTATCACCAGTACTCTCCTAGGCTTAGAGGGAGCAGCTACAGAAGTCTTAGTGAGCAAGTTAGCATCTGACACCATATGATTAGTTGCTCCAGTATCAATAATCCATTCTTGTGGACTAGTAGATGCTAAGAGAGCAATTCTAGTACTTGCCACATTTGCTTGAGCAGTGCTAGTACCTGCCACATTAGTTGAATTATTTAGAATCTGAATTATCTGATCATACTGTTCTTTAGTGAAAGGAAAAGCACTTCCTTGAGCCTGTGGAGAGGAACCTTTGGAAGATCCTTGTGCATGTATAGAGGAGGATCATGCTTTAGCTTGAGGACCAGAATGACCTTGTGCCTGACTCAAAGCTTGATAATTCTCAGCTCCTTGATTCATGGTCTATGGTGATTTTGATATGCATGCAAATGAGGCATTGGTGTTTTCTGAGGAACATGATTTGAGACATGATAAGAGTACATAGGCATAGTGTATCCAGGTTCGACCATTACATTATAATCCCAGGTCCCCCTTTCTTTTTGAATTTATAATCTGATGGATAACCTATTATTTCGAAGCACTTTTCTTTACTTTGGACCTTCATTTTGCAAAACTCACACTGAATGTTATAGTTCTTCCTAAATTTTGGATTGAAATTAGGCTTAGCACTACATAGTGCAGTTGAATCATAAGGATGTGTATTTACAGTAGGTGAAGATCCTAAAATATCAGTAGAAGCAGCTACAACTCTTTGACTTTCATCACTCATAAGCATGGCATATGCTTGATTCACTGAAGGAAGTGGCTTCATCATAAGTATTTGACTACGAGCTTGAGAGTAAGAGTCATTCAAGCCCATTAGAAACTGATACACCTTTTGCTTTTGTAGATATACAATAAACTCCTTTGTCTTAACACAATTACAGCCAGGAGTGGGTATAACAGACTCAGACTCGTCCCAAAGGTCCTTGAGCCATAAATAATAGATAGAGATAGAGGAAGTACCTTGACATAGGGTAGCAATTTCCTTGTGCAAATTGTAGCAACGAGTATAATTCACTTTGTCAAACCTCTCTTGTAAATCCGTCCATACCTTTTGTGCACTAGTGGCATAAGCAATACCACTAATTAAGGCTTGTGCAACCGAGTTCATCAGCCATGGCAAAACAATTGCATTGCATCATCCCCATTGATACCAATACTTCTCACGAAATCCCTCTTTTGGCCACCTTCCATCAACAATGCCCAGTTTATTGCGGCCAAGTAATGCAATACGCATAGATTGATACCACAAGGAGTAATTACCAGTGCCAATCAGCTAGAATGAAATCAATAAAATTCCACTTGTGTCGCTGGGAGCTAGGTATAGAGGGTGAGTGACTAAAACTATAACACCTTTCTCAAATTTATCATCGGAGGATGCATGCGATGCATTTTCAGCTGTGACAGTTTCATTTTCATGTTCCAAATCATCGATCGCCATTGTTAAGCACTTTGGAGCTTCGAATCAGAAAAATGAGATATCAATTGTTTTGAGAATGTAGAGAAGAAGACAGAGTGGAGGAGAAGACAGAGGATAGATTTGCGAGCTTCGATTCATAGCTCGAGCTCTGATATCATGCTGAAATGGAGATTTGAGAAGAGATAGAAACCCTAACTAACGAGGGAGAATAAAGAAGAGGAGTGTGAAGATGAATGTAACAGTAGAACAAAATGAATACTATGTATCTCATTACTTGTACAAGCTATGTATATATACAAGACTTTACTAACTACTATAACCACCTCACTAACCAATCAGGTGTAACATTAACTGCCTAACTAATACACTAATCTGCTAGCACATAAATAGACTAAACTACCCCAGTATTCAAATCACATCTTTTGTCTCAACACTTTTCTATTCCCTACTCTTCATATATATATATATATATATATATATATATATATATATATATATATATATATATATATATAGATTTTATGGTCTTCCAAAGATGAACTTTATTGGTCAAATTTCATGATTTCTGATTTTTCTTTTAAAAAATAACAAGAGAGTGTTCAAACTTCAAAATATCAAAATATTGACTCAAACAAAATCAAGATTAATGGTATACAACAGTCAAGGAATTCAAGAAGAGTCTCAAATTCTCAATCACCTTTGCCGAATCAGAGATGTTGCTACGTTGTTGAAGTAATTGTTGCTCGAATGTTAAGGGCCTGAGGCGAAAGGGTTTGTATTTTTCTATTTCAGTGGAGCTAAGTTTTAGGGCTCTAGATTTTGAGGGAGGGATTTGAAAAGAATAAAATAAGTTGACTATTATGTACTGAAACTAAACTAATTCAGAAAAGAAAAAAAATTAGTTGACTACTAATGGAGTATAATTTGAGGGGGCCAAGGAAAATACTTAAGGTTCCTCACTATATATTATAATATATACAGAATTTTTGCTGAGGCTCCGTGACCCCCCAAACTCCAATGTAGGCCCGCTTGTAGAAGTGCATGAGAATGTGGAAGATAGGCAATTAGCCTTGATAATTAGTGGTACAATCAAATCATCTTTTCAACATTTCTTGGGAACTAGAAAACCAAAGGGACATCAAAGTGCTGCATTCTACTATCAATCTGTTTAGACTGCAAAACATTTCAATGCCAAAAAACAAGTGCAATAAGCATTATATGTTACTTACATTGGCGGAAGCAGCTTTTAAGTGTCCCATTCCAATTTGTACAACCTACAGTAGTTAAGTTATGAATTCACAAAGCTCTGGATTCTGAAACTCTTTTCTATACTAATCTGAATGAGCAAACCAGCTAGCCCTAATATTTCAAGAGCCAAATCGAGCTTCTTTTCGGCTTGTAACCCCATTTGTTCGCACTCAAAACAAGAAATATTATTCCCCTTAATTCAGCTCTTATCCTTGTGCGAGCTGTAATCAAAGCTAAATACCTTTAGAATACGGTTACGAAAACGGACCTAAATACAAGAGAAAAACCTAAGCTAATCCAAATATCGATTATGCATTAGAGAACCTGAATATATGTTTGGAAAAGGAAATATAGCCATCACTTGGAACCCTTGAGGTTAGAGTACACTTGTATCATCTAACTGCAACACCATCAAAGCTAGTGGTAGAATGAGAATCAGATATTAAAACAACGTTATTTTTAAACCACATAGGTCTGATAGGCATGTATACCTGTGTTTTGTTGGATCTATTCGACTGATGCTCATTAATTTTATGGTATAGCTCTAGCTACATGACATGTTGTGGGATACAAAAACTGATCTGCTCTTGTGGGTGTTTCTCGATACGTTAGTATTACTCTCTCCATTTCAGTTTATGTAAATATATTTTTTTTTTGTATTTTCCAGAAAAAATGACACCTTTCTAAATTTGGAATGAATTTACATTAAGCTTTCAGTTCTAACTTCAATGAGAAGTTTATACTCAGACAAATACTCTAGGATGTTTAAAATACACCCTCCATTTCAATTTATGTGAACCCATTTGACTGGGCACGGAGCTTAAGAAAAGAGAGAGGACTTTTGAACTTGTGGTGTAAAATGAGGCACATATATTTTGTCTGGCTATAAATTATTGCATAAAAGTAAATTGTTTCCAAATAGGGAAAGGGCACAAGTTTACATAAATTGAAGCGGATTGGAAGGAATAACTTTTAACAGAATTATAGCCACACAAAATATTATGGATTATTTAGGATCACAAATTTTACAAGTATTCATTTCTTACTTAAACTTTGTGCCCAGTCAAACAAGTTTATATAAATTAGAACGGAGGGAGTATATGATATCTAATACTCCCTATGTCCCAGTTGATATTGTTGGTATTATTGTGTTCAAAATCAGAAAATCAGAGAAGCAAACAAACGTTAGTTCAATAAATAAATCGTAAAATAATTTCAAGCCCAATGAATGCACAGTGTGTTCTTAAGGAATTTAATCCCCTCATTGTTGCCCAATGTATACGGATTAATTCCTCCCAGGATAGAACGGAATAACTATTTTGTGATAGCGGCACTTCAAATCACAGAACTTCAGCGAACTCAACAAACGGAGCAAATCACACATGACACTTATGTTTATTTAGAAAATAATGCAACAATGTAGAAAAGAGGGGAGAAGATTTCATATTTTCCATCTCTTAAAAATGAGGTCAAGCCTCTAAATTTATAGACAAAGGAAGTGTGAGATAGAGATGTGCAATCCAAAATGTGCCTCTTCCATTTCCCATTCACACCCTTTAAAGAAAAAACGCAACAATCGTCCACATGAATGGGGAATGGACATATGTGAAAAAATATGCATGAATATGCAGTGTGATTCGCAAGTAAGGATTAATCGCATCTGGATAAGTAGGTTTCCCTTTGAACTTTCCGTAGTGAACTTATGTCAGATATACTCGGTCAATCGGTAGATTTGATATCTTTGAACCGTCAAGCTTTGGTGTATACCTAGACAACCATAAGTCACACAATCAATTCTTAACCATCTTTGGTTCTCACGGTTGCGTTCGTTTCAGCCATGATCACCGCCTGGTTTCATGAGTGCTTAGAGAATGGGCCTTTACTTTCATTCCCCTTAAAGCGGCTTGCACTTCACACTCACATAGATAATTTCTAAACGTATAATCCTCTAGACACACTATCTGGTCATATCCTGCCAGACTTAGCAAATCATTAAAATGCTTTAAGCTTTATTGACTCATCAAAAAGCCTTAATGTGTTACCTTGATTTCTGAACATTGTCTTCATCACGAGAATGGGTTGAGTTATCTGACAATGTTGAACCGTCATTCATAACTTTGTTTGATCTCTTTGAACCTAGCTCTTGGGATCTCTAGTCTGCTAGGTAGAGTTACTGCCATAATGACTTGTCCTAGGCCTTAGCCCCATTCCCTTGGATGATCTTTCAACTGCCTCTCTAGATAGGCCTTTTGTAAGTGGATCCGACACGTTATCTCTTGACTTTATGTAGTCAATCATGATAACACCACTAGGGAGTAGTTGTCTAACGGTATTGTGTCTCCGTCTAATATGACGAGATTTTCCGTTATACATAACGCTCCCTTCCTTGCCTATTGTCGCTTGACTATCACAATGTATACATATAGGTGCCAAAGGTTTGGGCCAAAATGGAATATCTTCCAAGAAATTCCGGAGCCATTCAGCTTCTTCACCGGCCTTGTCTAAGGCTATAAACTCAGCCTTCATTGTAGAGCGGCAATGCATGTTTGTTTGGACGATTTCCAACACAGTGCTCCTCCACTGATTGTAAAAATATATCTGTATACGATAGAAATCGGCGGTTCGATTTCACGAGCATCAAGGCATCTCGGGGGTTTCCTGTGATCGACTCCGAGAATTCTCGGTGGTCAACTTCGAGATAGTATAAGTACTGACCGGCCCCGAGGCAACGTGAATTAGTGGTCTCGGCGGACCAAGGCAAAGTTCCCAAGGCGCGCACATATAGCTTGTCAAGTCTAGTGGGCTAGTAAAAAGGCGAATCAAGGCATTAAATGGCTGTGTCAGCCCATATCTTTGTAATTAATGCTTTTGTATTATGTGGGGATTCCCCCTCCTATATAAAGGGGATCCTTGTCATTTTGTAAGGATCTGGTCCATACTAAATACACAAGAACATTCTCTCTGCTCTCTAACACATTCTCTTGATTTCATTATTTCATTCATTGCTTACATTCATTGTTCATCATTTATTGCTTATTATTGGCCATAAAGAGCCGTCATTGATTCTATTCTAACTGTTGGTCACACATCAATTACCCCCGATAGCTCCCACCCGAGATTCAACCTCGACCCCGAGGCCCCGATTATTAATCATTCGGTTTGGCTACCACCCTGTTCTCAAACTCTTATCTCGTTTCTAAGTCTTTCACATAGCATCAACTGCTTAACAACTAGCATAAAAATAGATCACGTATTTTTAGAATCCCATAATCAAATTTAGTTGTTATTACCATTTTCACGTTAAACAGTTTGGCGCCCATAGTGGGGCTAAAAATAATAGTGATTATTTTCTTGTTGGTTTAACCACGTAACGCAAGTTATCTTTCACACTTTTTCTTGTCCATGATCTTTGATTTCAGGTCAAAATGTCTAACTCAGTAAAC